CGTCGTTTTGCGCTGTCTGGAAAAAAAAAAAAAAAATGGCGGGGCAAATATTTCGCCTGGCCCAGCATCCACACTTGGCTACGGCTCTGTCTGGCAAAAGGAAAGGTTTGCGGTCCTTCCACATGGTTACATACCCGATGTGCCGTGCCGCATGAGCACAGCCAGCCGGCCGGCTGCCCCGTAAATGATTTTGGCCGTCGTCGACATTACTCGGAAGGATCTAGAGCAAAAGCAGGAGGACAAAAAAGAAGAAGTGTTGAGTTCATGTGTAGTCAGGGAGTGCATGAGGCACGCGCAAACAAGATACCAAAGAATCCCATCTCTTTCCTCAAATCAACTCAGGCCATTGCAATCAACAACAGAAGGTGCAACAGAGGTAGGTCATTCGTTTCGTGATTGGCTACCTAGATACGTGCGGTGCGTGGTGCAAGTTGCGGGCTTTCTCATTGATGATAGGGTTTTCCTCCTCTTGTCCTGAATCGCTTCAGTTCAGTAGTGCTCCCCATTCTGCCTGGTGATGAACAGGGCAGACGTCGCCGACGGCAACCGACGACGCACACATTTCTATGCGTACGTGGGCGAGGCGCGCGAAATGAGGGATACTGCGAGTGCCTCCTGCTCTTATTGGGGTTGTCCGTCCTCACCCCTGATCCTCCCACCCCCTTGTGACGCCGTGAATCCAGACAATGTACCACGCCACGAGGAACAGCCAGCCGACCAATCGACCCGGCTTGGTCTACGTGTCATTCGAGACCCTACAACATCATTCCCGTCCGTACATTCCCAAAAAAGCCAGACCAAAACCGTATTTGCGCCATTGTCGTGAAAAATGTGGGGATTCAGTGCGTGCAGCAGCTTCATCATCAGTATGCCAGGTCGTTACCGCTCGACCTGGCCCGGTCATCGCGCGAGCGCGAGCGCTCCCTGCTGGTCGATCCGCTGTCGTGTCCCTGGGGGCTTCCAGCGCCGGCACCGCTGCCGCCCCACTGCCACGGCATCCATCCGCCACTCGCGGTCCGCTGGCCCATCTTATTTCCGTGCTGTTGTCCGTGGTGGTGGTCCTCGCCCAGCGCCTCGTCGTACTCGACGCGATCAAACTCCAGCTCGCTCTTGCTCTTGGACAGGAAGCCCTCGCCGCTCTCGCGGAACTCGCCCGGCGTCCGGTTCTCGCTGCTGCTGCGCGTCGACGACAGGTGGTCGGCCTCGCGGTCAAACGCCTGCATCAGCATGCGCAGCTGATCCTTCCTAGAGGATATGTATGACAGGCGCTCCTCGGGCGAGCTGCGCGACACCTCCTCGGGGATCAACGCTTCGGGCCCTTCGCCGCGTGCGCCGCCGCCGCTGCCAGTCTTTTGCCATGCCGCGGCGCCCTGCAAGGCGCCCGCAACCAGTCCGTAGAAGTCGCCGGCCGGGGCAGCAAGCCCTTGGCCCGCGGCGGGCAGGTTGAAGCGGGAGAAGAGGTTCTGGGCGTAGGATCCGGCAGCGGCACCTGCGGCGCCGGCGCGCGATGGAGGCGGGGTGGGCTCGCGGGGCGGCAGGCCGAGCACGTTGACCTTGAGGAACTCGATGGCCTGCTTGAGGTAGTTGAAGCCGGCGCGCTTGGCATTGTCGTGGGCCTCGCTGATGAAGCGGTCGATCTCGGCCTCATGCTCCGCCAGGAACGGGTGCACGTATGTGGTGTAGAGGTGCGGCGCGCCCGCGGCACCTGGAGCAACGAGATAGCAGTAGGCGCCGAATCGTAGCCAGGCATAAAATGGAAGCCAGTCAACGGCCCAGCCTACGTAGGCCTCGGCTGTTTGGCCGATGGTGAAGACGACCCAGTACATGAGCCATGGCGTCAGTTGGGCAGGGTCGCGCGTCCGCAAGGCCTTGTAGGAGGCGAAGATGGGAAAGAGGGTAGATACTCCCGTGCTATTTGGCGGGACTTGTCAGCAGTGTATTGACTCAACGAATCTGAGGCATGGGGTTGAGCCGATTAGGACCATGAGGGGCAGGGAGCGGGACGTACGTGAGGAGATTGGGGAAGATGTCGAATATTCCAAAAAACATGATTGCGAAATGCCTCACGACGATGGGCGGGAGGTGTCGGGAAGAAGGAAAGGAAAGAGGTGGAGAGGCGGAGGAGTGGGAGGAGAAGTAGACAAAGACTGAGTGCCTGAAGGCTACCTACCCTACCTGAGCCTGAGGTGACGATTGTGCCGCTCCAAAGAGTCCGGGCAGTCGATCTGCGCCCCGCCGCCGCGGACCCCCCGGTTCACCGCCCGCTTGCAGCTTCGGCACGGGGCGTGATTGCTGATAGCTCGATAAGAACCATCAACTGCGTCACCCGCAACACACCCGGAGCCCGTGGTAGAAGCAATTCATGTCGTCCATGGGCCTGACAACTTCCTGAATTCAACTCCATCCCCTCCGCCTGATGTTCTGTGCTACTCTTACTCCCATCCTCCCAGTCAGCCGATGCTAGGCGCATGTCTCAACAGGGATAGCGTGCCTGCCACGCCCATGTATTTTTGGTTCCATAACGGCAACCAGACGCTCTCTGCGACAATGTCGCCTGCGGCTCTTTCTCTCCACTGGTACTTGACGACTCCAGAACGACCCAGTCACTCGTCACTCAACCACACGAGCTTATGTGGCACCACGATATACGTCTTGCAAACTGGAGCTGCACGCCGACATCCCGCAGCTGCTGCTAAAAAGCCCGAGGTGCTTCCACGTCACGAGCGATGCCAACCTTGAACTGCCATTTGCCTTCCACTCCGGTGCCTACTTACATATTGCGAGGCGCTCATGTGAGGTCTGCCCACGACGCCGCTTGTTCTCCTTTATAATCCTCACGGCTTGATCATTTTTGGCGCCATAGTTTTAACTTCACTCCTCACCGCCTTTGGTCACCAGGCACACTTGCTCTACACCACCGACTGCGTCGGTTCCCATGCCGTAATGTGTATCGCCATTGTGACAACCGCACACCCAGACTACCCCTTTATTCTACTCAACAACCGCGACGTACATATGCTCATTCCTGTCCCCCTCGAGTCCCATATCTGACATATCACAGGAGTACCTTCGCCGCCCCACGGCTCCGGCCCAGTGGTGGGCGCCTCCACATGACCACGTCCTAGGGGGCTACGACTTGCACCGCCCCGTCCACGGCACCTGGTTGGGAATCACCCGCCAAGGCCGCCTGGCCTGCCTCACCAACTTCCGCGAGGAGGGCGTTGTCATTTGCGAGGAGAAGAGCCGCGGCGCCATCCCGAATGCGTGGTTGAAGCTTGCCCCCAACTCGACCGAATCTACTGCCGATTTTGCCCAGCGCTTAGTCGATGAAGAGCAGGTCAAGGGCGTCGGTGGCTTCAGTCTGCTGTACGGTCGTCTGCAAGACGTGGTCTCCAAGCACGATGACAACGACGGCCATCATGCCAACGGCGTATCCAGCAATGGCGTAAAAGACCGCAAAGGCCTCGCCATTCTCTCCAACCGTACGCCCGACGTCCACGGGCTGATCTGGGTCGCCGGCTCACCGGGCGAGACGCACGCCCTCAGCAACTCGCACTACGGCGACAATTCATGGCCAAAGATTGTTCGCGGCGAAGAAGCCACCGCGGCCGCCGTCGCTGCCAGCGTCGCTGCGGGCGAGACGCGGGACCAGCTACTCGAGCGCCTATTCGGAGTTCTGAGCACTGACAGTCTGCCCAAGCACCAGCACGGCGAAAGCTGGGAGGTCTATCTGCGCCAGCTGCGCAACAGCATCTTCATCCCCGACATTGGCCGCGAGGGCGACGGCACCGTGGCCAAGCCCACTGACGAGATTTCATTTTCAAAGAACGGCAATGAGACGGCTGATGCTAACGTTCCCACCAGCGGAATCTACGGAACCCAGCGACAGTCACTCGTCCTTGTTGATCGCGATGGCCGCGTGACGTTTGTTGAAAGATCTTTGTTTGATGCCGAGGGTAGGCCCATTGGAAGGGGCAAAGGAGACCAGAAGTTCGAGTTTCAGATTGAGGATTGGTGATGCTGATGTTCGGGGTCAATTAGCATGGCGTTGGGGAGCAGAGGCATTCTCGGTGAGAGCTCTTGAAGCATACGGTTCAATACAGCAAAGCATGCGTATTGAGTCGTGTTTTTCGTTTGGTCACAGCAATTGGATTCCCAGTGTCCGCCTGCTGTGGTCGCTTGTCTCGCGGGACTATCAATATGTATGTACGTAGCCTTCTTGCCGCCCTGCTTGCCACGTCCAGAGTTGTACAGATGTGCAATGCAGCAAGCTGCACATCGGGCTCCGGCAGGGGGCAAAGGCATGCCGGCACTCTTCTCCCACCAATATCTTCGAATTACGATCCACTATCAAAAAATCAAATTTGCACCATGTCCCCTCTCCATTTCCCAAGGGAGCTTTGCGACGCTTGGCTGCCCCCGCCGGTAACAAACCAATGCCGACTGAGTCCGTATGCCATAACAGATGCCCGCCGCCCCCTGTCCCTCCTTATCTGAATGGATGGGTATTTACGGAAAGCTGTACGCGGCCATCCGGCCCCGGTCTGTAGCCGAGCTGCTCGCTGCCTGCTGTCGTCACATTATTCCCCACCGTTGACAACTCAGCTCACCGCTTGTTCGAAGGTCTCGTTGTTACTGTCATTCAGTCAGTCACTGAGCTGGTGGCGGCCAGTCGGTAGGAACAAGCGTGGTTTTGCGGGTCGCCGGAACAATTTGAGCATGTTCCACCTCACTCGTACATCGATATACGAGTGAGGTGTCTGTAGGCAAAGGCACAGTGGCCCAGTACTTGGAGCGTCAAATTATCCTGGTTTCCTGGAAGACGATCCACACCTACATGTAGGCTACGCCGCCGTGATCCAAGTGTACTTTTCCCAACTCAGAAAGACGCCAAAACTCTCATCTCCCAGTCCCACCTTCCTCCTGCACCTTCCCAGACGCTGCTCTTTCCCACCCACATATCAACCTACTACGGCAAGTCCCCTCCATCACAAAAACAAGCGGGAGTGGCCTAGTGGTTAAGGCGCTGCTTTCCCACCTATCCACACGGAATCAAGCAGAAACCGCGAGGTAAGTCATACCTTCCTACTTGAGAAGGACCAGGCAGTTACTAATACGGACACAGTTCGAATCTTGCCTCCCGCATTCCATTCCTTTTGCTCTTTTGCTCCTTATGCTCGCTTGGGTTGGTCTCTTTGAGGAGGTTGACGTCTTTTTGGTGAAGTGAGGAGACAGACGAACAGTCTGTTGGCTCTTGCCGGTTGTTAATTTGTTTGAAAATAGAGACTGGACACAGAAGAGGGAGGTCAGGGGTACATTTGAGGTAAATATTCATATCAGCAAGTGAACAGAGCGAATGGGTTGCCAAGGAGGACTGAATGTATGAATTGTTACTTTTCCATTGTTTTCGTAGGCACAGCACATGCTGGAGGGATGTCCTTCGGTGCTCATGAGAACCTGTCCGATCATCCGTTTGCCCTTTGATCCAATGCGTACGGAGAAGAAGCTAAATGGTTTCGTTACCGCCTCGGTCTAATGCAAGATAATGGCATGAATCCTTTTGGACTTTTCGGCCTCGTACACCGTGTGGAGTTTTTTCACAGCCGGCCCTCGCCATTTTCGGAGCCATCCATCGTGCTGCAACTTTTGCTTGCCCGCAATTCTAGCTCCCCGTCTCCCATGCTTTCTAAGAAAACTACTCCCTCTGCAGCACGACCGTCAAGCCCATCAAGCCCAGCATGACCGTCTTCAACCACGGGTACTCGCTGAGCAGGATCGTCACGTAGCCGACCCACGGGATGAAGCCGAAGACGCTGCCGATGACGTCCTTTTCGCGGTTCAGGAAGGATTGGCCGCGTGCGTAGAGCTCCGTGTCGTCGGCGACGTTGTTGTCGCCTTTGGTGAGCAGACGGAGGGGGTTTGGTCTGCGAGGGTGTTAGCCCATGCTTCTGTTTTGCTCCTTGGCCTCGCTCAAGAAGAAAGCCCCTCGAACGTTGCCGGAAACCAGAAAACTCACCCTCCCCCAAACCTCCTCACAACACGATGCACAATCGGGATGTCCTTGCCGCGCACGTTGTACACCACCACCTCGCCAATCCTCGTGTCCATGGCCCGATTCCACAAGAAAAGCAAGTCGCCGCGCTGGAAAGCCGGTTCCATGCTGCCCGACAGCACCACCACGATCGGCGACGGCGAGTTGGTCGCGACGGACAGTCCTTTCCAGAGCATGAAGGCCGTGCTCAGGACAAGCGCGAAGTTGAGGATTTGTGCGGCAATTTGCCGCGGTTGGAGCGAGCCCAGAGGCCCGAGCAGGTCGTTGAGCATGGCGGCGCGAGTGTGTCTGGCGGTCTTGCAGTTGATTGAGGCGTTTGGCGCGCGTTCGGAGACTTTGGAAAGGGAATTTGACGGGATGCGTGGGCGTCGCGTTTTGTGAGAGAGCGGACGGCGTGGCCAGCCAGACAGGCTTGTTCGCGATTCGTGTGTTGTCTTTGTTCGGCCAGCGCGGCCGTAGAGTTATAGTCGTGATGAAGCCAGGTGGTGTTGACAAGGGTAGCTCGGTACGAACGGACGTGCGCGCAGTTCAGCGCGCCGCTGGGTCCCGCCAAGAGTTACCCTGAAGCGTAGCACCATTTGAATAGTGGACTTGGGCAAGCACAATATCAAGCAAATAACTCACTTTTGAATTACTCGACGCTCTACAGTACAATCTCCAGCTCCAGTAGCCGCAATACACCGCTCCAAGCCAAGCAAGACCAAAAGAGCGCAACTGACATAAATCCATGTTTGACGTCATTCCCATAGTGGCCCTCATTATCAATGCAAAGGTATCTTCTTTTACACCTTCCCTGCCCAACGTCTACCCACGTACTGAAAGAATTAAAACTTCTCAGGAGACCAGGAGAGCGTCGCTTCAAAACCAGGCAAAGAAGCGACATTCACCAGGCGTTGAGAATCAAAAATCATTACTCGGAGCCCGGGTTGCGGAAGTTGGCAACAAGGTTCGTGTATTGATGCGTCAACTCCAACACATGCTGTGGGAGGCTCGTTCCCTGAATGATGCTCCGGACTTTCAAGGTTCCCTCCTCTTCAATGAGTCTACGAATCATGAAGAGCAATGACGGGGAGAACTGTTGCTTTCATCAGTAAAGGTTCGCCGTAAATTTTGATTGCTCGTCTTACCTCCGAATACCACCTGTACTGCCAGCAAACTAGGCGGATGAGAGCCCCGAGCATCAATCTTACGTTGCCCTGCGACTCGTACAACTTCAGCAGGCCGCGCATGGCCTTTGGAGAGAATTTGATGTTGAGGCAAGCCTGGTATGCTTCCATGGCCTCATCATCATGATGCAGTCTCTCGGCGAGCTCACCGAGAATCTCCCACTCCTCTGGGTTCTTCTTGTACAGCAACTGTTGCTGCCGGTACTGCGCCATCTCCGTCCTCCAGATGGTGTAAACGCGCAAGTCCTCATAGAGAACCATGAAGAGGTTGTCAAGCCAGCGCTCGCAGAGACGCTTGTTGTGGAATTGCGTGTATTGGTTGTGAGAAGGATCCGGTTCGTCGCTTCCGGCCTTGACTTCTTCTGACGCAACGGTGTTCGAGGGCTTCTCCAACGAATCTCCGGCATCGTTTGCGTCATTCTTTTCCTCTCCATCTGTTGTAGACTCTCCATTCTCACCATCACCGTGTCCATTGGTCTGCGGGCTTGGTGAGCGTATCGCACTCGTGCTGGCATTCCGGCTTGGGGTTTGCTGCGGCGGTTGCTGCGCCACGGTCTGCTTCTCATGCCGATATTCTTCTTCCATAACGAAGACTTGACTTCTTATCCTCAGCAATTGGTCCCATCCAATCTTTTTCGTGATCTTGGTAAGAAGCATATAAGCCTTCAAAAAGGTTCCCCTAAAACCTGCGGCGTGAAGCTTCTTGAGTGTCGGGTGGACAGCATCGACATCATTGGGACCAGTACTGTCATCAATCTCGTCACATACGCTCTCGGGCATGAGAGGCAAGTTGATCTTGAACGGCTCTGGTATGCGTGGGGCATCCTTGTCTTGGTAGGTGAACATGGGACAGGAGTTGAGAGTCAGAAGCGCGAGATCCCATTGCTCCAGGCTGACATAGATCTCGGCCAATCTGGCCCAGGTGCTGAATTCACTTGGCGCAGAAACGACGCTTCTCTTGGCAATCTCTAGTGCCATATCCGCACGTCCTTTCTTGTTGAGGAAATCGGCCTGGCAGTCGAGGAGGGAATAGTCCATTGGAAGTTCCTGGATAGCATCGTGCAACAATTGGACAGCCTTGACTTCTTCGTCGGCCGAAATGTAGACTCGGGCGAGAAGTGATGAGATTTCCGGGTCTCGGGAGCGAAGCTTTTCGAACAAGTTGATTCCAGAGGCATAGCGGCCGGAGGTGTGAATGTAGTTGAGGAGTCCAGTGGTCAAGTGATTCGAGACGAGGTTGGGTACTTGAATTTCTGGATCGGAGCCAAGCTGCCAACCTGGAATGTATTAGAGGGGTAGTGCGAGCAAGTGGGACAGGGGCCAACCATTGAAGAAGAGCCGCTCGGCAGAGTCCAAAAATTTGTGCTCGGCCTCAGTACTGGTGATGGGGTTGAATCTCCTGACCCCGATGATCTTCTTGATCTGATCGCCGGAGCCATCGTCGGCGTACGAGTATGCCCGCAGCACGCTGCAGAGGTAAGTCTCGAGCCACAACTCGTCCGACGCAACGCGCTTCTCTCCCCGTTCGTCAATGCAGTAGCTTTCTACCGTTCCGGGAATGGCTACCTGGACGCGCATGTCCAGCCGTGAAAAGGCATTATAGCAGCTTGTTCCGTCAGCTAGAATCCGTGTTGACCTTACGAGTGCCGCTTTACCAGTATAATCCAGAGACGACCTTGTGGGTTTTGTCGTTCGGTGTGTATGTCAGAGTGTTTATGTAGGCTGCTAAACTTGCGGACGAGGAGGCATCGACGCCAGAAATGTGGTGATATACTCCAATCTAGTGGTGTGTGTTAGCCCGGCTGCCTAACCATGGTGCGGATTGTGCCTGATGGGAACGTCAGTCGACGCACCTTGTTTGTCGACCCTTTTTGCTGTTTGACCAGGTGTACCAGGTCAGGAGGACCCAATTCGCGCAGGGTCTGCAAGCTTTCTGTACGGAGATCGACAACGGACTGTATGTCGTCTTCGTAGATTCTGAGAGAAGACACGTCAGCATGTCAGCAGCGATTGAGACAATCAAGTGACTTTGGTATTGGTGACAGAAAAGATTAAGAAGCTCTTAAAGGATAAGGAGCCTCTAGTGACAATGGGATCCATTGCATGCGCGGGATTGGCCAGAGGGCGGGGGTTGCAAAGCTGGCCAGTAAATAGGACTTGACCTACTCGGGGACTGCTGGTTGAGGAACCATGACTGTATGGGAGAAGAGTGCGCTTGAAGCTTGCTATTCCAGCAGCATCAATTGGCGGCGAGTGCGGGTAGACTGGAGGAGATGGAGAGAAGGACGCGGGACGTCCAGGCGCATTGCTGTTGAAGGTCGCAGCGCAGCTCCATCGTCCACGGTGACCTGGGGGTGTGCACGGACCAACGCCGACGCGGAGCGCCGGGCGCGCATCCCTCCAGCCCAGTAGGTCCACTCGACACGTCCACTACGCCAACTCCACATCCAGCCGTTGGTTTGGATCGTGGGCGCCCACCATGGCAAGTCTCCCCTCTTACAGCGCGCGCGCATCTTTCACTGACATGAGACGCGATGCAGTCCAACTTCAAGGCGCTCAACATTGAATCCGACATCGAGTCTGATGATGAAATCGACAACACCAAGGAAATACAGATTGAGGAAGCTCTCAAGCTATACCAGACCGCCCTCAAATACCACGCTGAGGGACCTCGCTCTTTCAAGCAAGCTGCGGAAGCTTACAAGGCCCTCTTCGAATCAGAAATCTTCAAGTACACCGAATCGCTGTCCGAGTTCCGTCGCAGTGCGCTCCATGGCGACCCAGATTTCGACCTGTTGTTCCAAGAGGACGTCGATGCCGGCCCAGTCCAGGCAGCAGGTGGCGCAGACTCGGCGCCCAACACACTCCCCCAAATACTTCATCTCTCGTACAAAAATCACGGCCAGTTCTTGTTGGAAGCGCTCCAC